GCGGGATCCATCGCCCCCCCACTGCCCCAACGAGCAGGCAGCACCCCTAAGCAAAGCACTTGCATCCCTGGTCGGGATCACCTTCGTCTTGGCCGCCTTGCCAAATGYAGTCATATGCGGCTTAGCAATATGGGCATGCCAGTCGGAGCAAGTACTTCTGGCACYAGCGAGGCTAGCCTCTGGGRTAATCTACCTCACGATCSGYTATGCTTCGYTSTTCATGACACTAGCAATAGGTGGCGCGATTGCAGCATATGCTAGCTTATGACGCCCCCGCACGCAGCYCCGACCCTTCACRCTCTCTGCACGCACTGCGAACTTCTCCCCTGGGCTACCCTATGTGAGAAACCCTTCCCCATATRTGTTGGTAATCCCCCTCGCCACTGTCTCCCCCTCCCCCCTCTCYYCTTTTCCGACGACAAAGGAAAAGGTCTCCCTCTGATGAAGCCGCGTGTGGCAGGCGGCAGAAAGGCCTCAGGGAAGATGCCACTCCCTCCTGCGGATCTGTTGAATAGCCCGCCTCGCCAGGAGAGCGRTATCAGGGCTAGGCAACACGGTACAGGACTTCTCTTGTTCTTCTCCCTCTCCCCTTCCCCTTCGTCGTCACTCCCTCTTGATTATTGCCTTTTCCTTGACAGATCACCGGGCGTCGTCACAATGGGAGAGAGCGGAATTCTGCATGGGAGTTTTTTCGCCGTATGAGATACTCGGCGTCTTGAGAAGCTTCTTTCCGAACTGCTCGTTGTCTTTTTTTTGGAGCATAATAAGTCAGCGGATTGGTGTGTTCTTCCTTGTTTTTTTACCGATTAGGATAGATGTTTTTTCTCAACAATGGATGAAGTTCGTTTTTGAACGCATGAAGCCGTGCACGGTCTTTACCCCCACCAATCGCGCCTTCCGTCGTCATCTTCTTCTCTTTGTCTCCTCCTCTCCCCCTTCCCCACCTCTTTCCCCTTCTTTAAGAATCCGAAGCGGCTTAATCTCTGATCGATTTTTACCTATGGATTTTCACCTTTTGGGATATGACTCGGATTTTCGCCTTTCGAGATGTGACACGAGTTGTCTTTTCGGCTTGTCGACAATCTTAATAAGTCAAACCGGTTCAACTTGTTGGGGCGAATTAATGAGTTGTACTGCAATGTGATAAAAAAATTTTGAATGATCTCTCGCAACTACTCCACCTACCTTCCTCTTTCTCTCCCCCACCCCGCCGCCTACCCCTCTTCGTCTCCCCCTCTCCCCCTTCCCCACCTCTTTTCCCTTTCCTTGTAAATCCGAAGCGGCGTAATCTCTGATCGGTTTTTGCCTATGGATTTTCGCCGTTTGGGACATGACTCGGATTATAAAAAAAGCGTCATTTCGTCTTTGTCTTTTCGGCTTGTCGTCAATCTTAATAAGTCAAACTGGTTCAGCTTGTGGGGGCGGATTAATAAGTTATACTGCAACGTGATCGGAAATTTTTTGAATAATCCCTCACGGTTACTCCACCTACCTTCCTCTCTCTCCCCCCCATTCCGCCACCCTCATCTCTCCCCCGATGCGGCTGAATCCTTGATCGGTCTTTACCTATGGATTTTCGTTTTATGAATCGGATTATCGAAAAGCGTCATTTCGTCTTTGACTTTTCGGCTTGTCGTCAATCTTAATGAGTAAAACTAGTTCGGCTTGCTGGGGCGGATAAATGAGTTGTACTTCAACGYGATAGAAAGTTTTGAATGATCTCTCACAGTTGCTCCACCTACCTTCCTCTCTCTCTCCCYCATCCCGCCGTCCCCCTTCTCTCCCTCTCTCTCTTTCGCCTGCTCACATCATTACACTAGAAGAAGTGACGAGATGCATGCGTATGATCCTGCATAACACACTTAGCATTATAATCGGGGCACCGAGTGCAACATGTTGCGATCTCTCCAAACCCGGGAGCTCGGGCACCGATCACGCCCCGATCGATCTCATTTTGAAAATAGAGCCTTCGGGACGTGATGAGCCACGAGCATCGCGGCTGGAACGCAAGGACGTAGCGAGCCAACGAACGTAAGACGGCCTCGGTTCATCTAAAGGACCAGCACACCAAGTAGCACTCTACGATGGCTCCCAAGGAAAGGCATGATGATCTCTCTCTCCCAACGGTAACGATGAACGAGGGATCGCGGGAATACACTCGGGAGCACTTGCTGACCTATCGCGACCGCAGCTTGCAACAACGATCTGACCTATGATTCGCTTAACACACTGAAACACAAGTAGATGCTATTTCCACGACGGGAGCCGATGCCATACTTGCGACAATCCCCAAGCTGAAGGGTGTGCCGATGAAGAATCGAAGATTTGACCAGGCATATGATTTATTGCCTAGGCGTGCGTAAAATGCACACACTCAAAACACACACGGGTGGGATTATCCCCGCAGCGCTGCTGGTGGGTGCCCCCACCAGCCACACCTTGAGAAAAGCTTGGACGCCGTAGATTACGGGACGCAGAGGAAGTGGCGGTAAAGCTCGGAAAAATGGTAATTTCATGGCATCGAAAGGCCTCATGGTGTGGCGAGAGAAAAGGGTATCAGCTGATAACAGCGGTGTGATAACATGGGCCAGCGCTACGCCCCAACTTGTTCTGTTTTCTTCTATTCCTCTCTGCTTTTCTCTGTTTTCTCTTCTATTTTTCTCTGTTCACCGCCCGCTCCTCCCCTTCCTCCCCCCATCCTGATATCCCTTGTCCTCCTTTTTCCCCCCTTGTTTTTTCCACCATGTCGTTGCTTGTGCAGATTACGCCTGGTGAAGGCTTTCCTGGAGGTTGGTGGAACGAAGTCATCGAGAGATTCCCATGGCTCGAGCGTTGTCCCTGGCCCAGCAAACCAGCGCAGACCCTGATTACGTGCATGAAGCACGAGAGCATGGGAGTGATTAAGGCGGTGTGGGATTTGGGGGCTTTTCCTTATTTTCAAGATGATCAGCTTCAATGATCTAGCAAGCATGGTGATGGCTTGGGATAATAATAGGGCGTCGTTCCGGCTGGAGGTGGAGAAACTGGGAACCGAACTCGAGGTTAGGAAGGAGGAGTACGCTAGGGAATGTGCGCAACTGTCAAAGAGGATGGCGAGGGCGGAGCAAATCTTCCTCAAGGCGTGGGGACTGAGTGACACACATTTGAAGGGCTTGCTCCCTTCCACCCCCCCTCCGCACGCACCTCGGGAGGCACAAGGGCCTGCACCCCTGGCGCATACTGCATGCCAAGCCTTGGATATCAACGATGTAGAGATGGCGGAAATGGAGCAAGCCATTGAGGCCATTTCCGCCACAACACAACAGACCCCACTCAGACGCATAGCAGCCCCGAGGCCCCTACAGGCATCCTCCTCTAGGCAGTTCACCTCGTTCGCCCCTTTAGCCTCCACACACTGGGCAGAACACACCAGCACAGGCTTCGGGCACTGTATTTGGAAACTAGACACCTATAATCACTTAGCACCAATCTCTGTTAAGGCCTTTCAATTCCTCGCCGGACTCACCGACGCCCAGGTTAGGAAGTGCAAAGCCATAGCCTACACCGCGCAACTCAAATACTGTGGGAAGTCGGTGACCCCTTTCTCTCCCAACGACTTATATTTCCCACTGATGAGTTATGTCGACCTAGAAAAATGTGGCCAGACAGCACCCGTAATGTGGCACAAGGCTATCAAGCAACCACCTTCCCCGGACCTCAGGAATCTAAGGAAGGTGTGGAGCGTCGAGCGACCGTACTTGAAGTGCAGCTGCAAACGCAACGACGAGGACAGAGACTGCCCAGGGGGACCTCTCTGGGTAGACCACGCCATTTGGCACCTTTTAGCACATCCAGATGTTCTATTCCCCACCATGTCCTCTACCAAAGTACGCACGTCGATGCTAGTTCATTATCTGAGGACGACTTGGAAGGACGCAATCATCGGATGCATAATTTTCATGTTTATCAGAGAAGTCATGGTGGAATTCATCCAGAACCTCGAAGCGAACAGCCGACTCAATGCAGAAGAAGTCATCAGGGACGAGAGGATATGGAGGCACCAACTCCCGCCGGCGTTCGGGAGGATCCTGCTCCCCACTAGGATCCCAGCCAGACCCAGGAGGGTGACCCAGCAGTGAGGCAGAGACCCCAACGCGAGCAGATCCAAGGGCAAGGTAGGATTAACTTTCCGCCCGCCAATAAGAATGCCAATGACGAAGAACCCCAAGCAACTGCGTAGCGACAGGCAGCGCTCATCAACGAGAGGAACCTTGCAGCAGCACAAGCACAGCCACAGCAGCAGCAAGTCCAGCAAGCGAGGGGGACGCCGCCACAGGGGGATCAACAGCAGAACCCCGGAAGGGAAGGAATGCGGGAACAGGCACGAGACAATCGCGCACAGCGGCAGGCTGAGGAAGAGAGAGTAAGTCGCCAGCAGGCGGAGGTGGGAGCGGATATGGAACGCGTGATGCAGCAGATGCCCATAGCGACGCCATTCGATAGCTCGCAACTCACAGCGCAACAGTGTAGCGGAGGTTTCAGCACCCCCGCGGCACCACAACCAGCAGAGGTCTTGGACACACCGAGGAGAGCCAAGAAGAGATTGGCAGACAGCGGACCCGGCGCGAAATCGGTGCACTCACAATGTGGAAGGAAGCTCAGACCGAGATTCTCAAGTGGCAGCAATGCAGCGGTCGGCTCACCCTGAGAAGCCAGTGGCGAGCTTCAACCCTCACACTCCGGCCCCCCCGCCTT